AGTTGGTACTACAAAGAAATGCTAGAAATATGTTTGAGCAGAGGAAGTATGTAAATTCGACATTTTGTTTTAACCCATAAGTGAAACATAGTCTTCTTAATTCTTGAATATCTTACATACAGCCAAATATTATAGGAATTAAACTTTGGATACTGTCTCAATAATTACCTTATGAACAAGAGAACCAAACCTTGCCCTATTCTCTTCCATTTTCATTATTTGTGACATACTCAAGCCTGTTACACTCACCATGTCAATTAGTCTTTTGGGAAATCTTCCTCTCTTTTTCAGAATGATGTTTTTTTTCCAAGGACTGGCCCCTTCTGACAATATGGCCAAAGTATGTGACATCAAACTTTGTCATCCTCGCCTCTAAGTGATACTCTGGTTGCCCTTCCTCCAAGAAAGACTTATTTGTTCTTTTGGCAGATGTTGTTAGGTATCCTTGAGTATGGCTCATAGTGACCCTAAAAACAACAAATCTGAATCCTGTCTTAACCTGTGCCATTTTAATAATCTCTGATATAATTAAGATCACTACTGCAAATCACTGTGTAAATCCATCTCCTTGAGGATCTTCCTCTTTTCTGTTGGCCTTCTACCATTCCAAGCATGATATCCCTTTCCAAGAAATAACTTCTCCTAGATAACATTTAAAAACTATGTGAGACACAGTTTTGCCATCCTTGCCTCCAGGAAATACTCTAGCTGCACTTTTTCCAAGATGTGTCCTTTTTTGGCAGTCCATGGGATTCTCAGTGCTCTTTTCCAGCACCACAAGTCAATGCATCAATTCTTCATCTGTCATGTTTATTCATTGTCCAGGTCTAAGATGCATAGAAAATAAATGACTGAAAAGGCCGTGGCCTAAATCATAGTCTTCAAATGGAAATCATTGCTCCTCAGTAATTTAGAGAGAGTCCTACCAGCAGACTTGACCAATAAGTCTCCTGATCTTTACAGTGCTGGTACGAATGGTGTTGGTTATGGATCCAAATAAGATGAAGTCATAGATAACCTTAATTTTCTCTCCATCAATATGTTGCTTTTAGGTCTAGTGGTGAGGATTTTTGTCATCTTGATGTTGAGAGGCAATACTTCAAGAAATCGAAGCTGTGTCATCTGCATAACATAAGTTGTTGATAAGTCTTATACTGATGTTATATTCTTTTCTATAGAGTCCATTTTTTCACATAATTTGCTTAGTGTACGAACTAAATATATATAGAGAAAATATATGATCCTGACATATACCATTCCTGATTTTAAACCTTGAACTATTCCCTTGTTCAGTTTGAACAACAACAGCTTCTTAGTCTAAGTATAGGTTTCATATGATCATAATTAAGAGTTCTGGGATTCCTATTCTTACTATTAGTCATAGTTAGCTATGATCCACAGAGTCTAATGCTTTTGGATAGTTAATGAAACATAGACAGGATTCTAGTATTCTCTGTTTTCAGCCATAAACCATCTGACATCAATAATGACATTTATGGTGCCATGGCCTTATCTAAACCCAGCTTGACCTTCTAGCAGTTCTCTGTCAATGTCTGGTTCTAAACATTTTTGGATGAACTTCAGCATCATTTTACTTGTATGTGATATTAATTATATTGTGGGAACATCCTTCTCGTGAATGTGAACAAATATACCTCACTATCAGTCAGTGGCGAGACAGCTGTTTTCCAAATTTCCTGGCTTAGATTGTGAGTATGTCCAGGGCTGCATTTGTTAACTGAAACACGTCAACTGGTGTTCCATCTTGTCCCAGGACCTTATATTTTGCCAATGCCTTCAGTGCTGCTTTAACTGTTTCTTTCATTCCCATTGTCTCTTGTTCATGGTTGGTTGTTGTTGAGTACCGTTGAGTCAGAACTTACCCATAGTTGGCCCTCTGGTGAGTTTTTAGAGGCAGTTAATCAGTTGGGAGGAGATTTCCCATCCTTCCCCCATGCAGCATAGCTTCTTGCCACTGTCAAACAGTTCTTTATGGTATAGTGATTCTGTATTCCTTCTTTCTTCTTTTGATGCTTCCTGGATCATTCAAGATTCAATATTATAACATGAGGCTTGAATATGTTTTCTAATTGTTTCTACTTTAAATATGCCAAGACAGTGCTTTTCTTTTTATTCTCCAACTTCAGCTCTTTGCATATTTCACTACAGTACTTTGCTTTGTCTTGAAACCAGGAAAGAAGAAACAGAACAATTAGAATGCATTCTCAGGGCCAGAGATTCCTGGGCCAGGGGTATCTTGACTGAGAGGCTGCCCGAATTATTTGAGAGACTGAATCTTGTTGTTTAATCTTCCTGGTTATTTGGGAAATTGGACAAACATATCCACGACCTCATCCAGCCTTACTGTCAAGGGCCTCTGCTGGTACCAAAAAAAGGCTGCCCTGGACTTGATATTCGTGTGTCTGATTATCTTTAGAGTATACTATTAAAGAAAGGCACAACATCTATGTATCAATTCATAATATTGAGAAAATTATTTATATGTTGTTAATTACTTTGGTTTAGTCTGTAAATCTTACATCTTTATAGTATTTGTCTATCAGTTTGCTGTACTGTGGTAATTTGCAGGTTGCTGTGGGTTGTGGAAACTACACCACCAGTGTTTAATATGCCAGAAAGGTCACCCATGATGGAGAGATTTCAGCAGAGTTCCAGATTAAGACACACTAGGAAGTATGCTTGACTATCTACTTGGGAAATAATAAGCCTCTGAAAACTCTATGTTTATAGGATATTTAGTACTATTTTTTTTAATAACACAATTTAAGGGTATCAGTTTTTTCATCATCCTTATTCACTGTCCAGCCTTCAGATAAGCACAAAGTTGAAAAGCCCATGGCTAGGATCAAGAGCACCTTAGTATGACAATATTGTTCTTTAGCATCTTAGAGAGGTCTTTAACAGTGTATTTTTCCAATGCAACATGTCCAATGCATATTTTTTTTTCAGTGAAACAACTGCTTACATAGTCAAATAGTGAGGATGTTTGTTTTCTTGATGTCAAGATGTAATTCATTAAAGACTGTAATCTTTTATTTTGTTCAGTAAGTGATTCAAGTCTTTTTCACTTTCTGCAAGCAAGGTGTGTCATCTGCTTAATAAAGGTTGTTGATGAGTCTTCCTCCAAATCTGATGCCACATTCTTCTTCATATAATCCAGTTGACAAAATTATTTGATTAGCATACAGAGTAACTCAGTATTGAGAAAGGATACAGCCTTGATACACACCTTTCTGAACTTTAAACAAAGCATATTCATTTGTTCATTTGAAGAACATAAATATTCAATTACAGACCAATGCATCACATCATTATAGGTGGGGAAAAGATTGAAATGATCGGTGATCTATTTTACTTAAATCCTGAATCAATATGTTTTGTAGCAACATCAATGAATCTGAAGATGTATTGAATTGGGCAAAGTTGCTGTTGAAGACCTCTCTAAAATGTTAAAGTGCAAGGTTGTCAGTTTAAAGATTAAAATATTCTTGATCAAAGCCACAGTATTTTCAGTTGCTTTCTATGCATCTGCATTTTGAGCAAAGGATTACAGAAGGAGAATTAGTGCCCTTAAATTTTTTTGGAGAATTTATTAATGAAAGAGATAAAATAAGAATGATTAAAGAATCTATGCCCTTGATGTGAATCAAATACCTTGATGGTGTTGGGGAAGAGTAGTGGATATCCCATGGACTCCCAAAAGAACAAACATGCTTTGTCCACAAAGCAAAGAGTTGGAAACAGCCCAAGTGCCCTTCAACAAATGAATGGATAGAGAAGCTCCGATATATTCACACAGTAGAGTACCATGCAGCACTGAAAAATAAAAAACTCAGGAATATTATGCAAAATTGATGACCCTAGAGGACATTATGCTGAGTGAAATATCTCAGTCACAAAAGGACAAATACTGCATAGGGCCACTATTGTAAAACAGGACTGACATTGGGGTTGAGGGAAGACAGAGAAGAAGGGGAGGAATAATGTATACTGCATTGCAACAGATGAGGGAGAAAACTGTTTAAAAGGGATATATGATTATTGTCATGACAAGAGTCCAGAACGAAGGATGCACAGTGCAGGGGCTTTGGGGTGGGGGTGGGGGATTGCATAGCAATAAAAGAGTTTTTCTTTTTCTTTTCAAGGAGATAATTGGGGGGTAGGGGGTAGGCAAGGAGAAAAATGCAACAATGAATTATTGGAAACCCTAAGTCTCTATAAACTTTCATTAAAATGAATTTAAAAAATAGGGGGGAAAAAAAGAACATGTCTGTCTTGGAGAAAGTGCAACCAAGGGGCCACTTAGAGGCAAAGATGATGAAACATTGCCTCCTGTTCTTAAGGCATGTTAAAAGAAAGGTGAGGCCTTGTAAAAGTAGGAAAGGTGGAAGGTTGGAGAAAGAGAGGAAGATAGTCAATGAGATTGACACAGTGAATGTAAAAACAGTGTTGCAGATGTTGATGATGATGCAGGATATGGAGATTTTTTGATCTGTTGTTTGTGAGGTTAGTATGATTTGTGTTTGATTCAATGGCATCTCCAACAGTAAGAGCAATAAGGTTTTGTTTTTTTTTTCAACTGTTGTGGTTATGTGCCACCGAGTCATGACTCATAGCAACCCTATGTACAATAGATCCGAACTATGCTCTATTTTGAGGCAATCTCACTGTGCATGGGGTAATAATTCAAATCTGAGAGACTATAGGCAAATAATTTTTCTTAGTGATTTCTTTGTGTGGTACATACTAACTGTTAATTTTCTCTTGTTCTGATCAAATGTGAAAATGAGAAAGCTTTTAAGAATAATGAAAATAGAGCAAGACGGAGCTAGGAGGCCAGTTCCTGTTAGTCACTCCCGGTTACAGAATTGGTTGCAGAGCAGGCCGTGGCGCCGTGTCTGTAGGAGAGACGCGAGGAGTACAGCAAAAGAGAATTTTGGGTAAATTGATTTTCCAATAAAGTCTTTCAAAAGATCTAGAACCTAAAATGGCTTCAAAAGAGCTCTGGTCATCCTGGCTAAGGGAGCAGAGGAAATGGAGACTGTCATTCCTGTGGATGTCATGATCATCCTGGCTAAGGGAGCAGAGGAAATGGAGACTGTCATTCCTGTGGATGTCATGAGACGAGCTGGAATTAAGGTCACTGTTGTGGGTCTGGCTGGAAAAGACCCGGTGCAGTGTAGCCGAGATGTTCTCATTTGTCCTGATGGCAGTCTTGAAGATGCAAAAAAAGAGGGCCCGTATGACGTGGTGGTTCTGCCAGGTGGTAATCTAGGTGCCCAGAATTTATCTGAGTTTGCTGCTGTGAAAGAGATTCTGAAGGAACAGGAGAAGAGGAAAGGCCTCATTGCTGCCATCTGTGCAGGTCCTACAGCTTTGTTGGCTCATGAAATAGGTTTTGGAAGCAAAGTTACAACACATCCACTTGCTAAAGACAAAATGATGAATGGAAATCATTACAGCTACTCAGAGAAACATGTGGAAAAGGATGGCCTTATCCTTACAAGCCGAGGTCCTGGAACCAGCTTTGAGTTTGCTCTTGCTATTGTTGAGGCCCTGAATGGCAAGGAGGTGGATGATCAGGTGAAAGCCCCACTGGTGCTTAAAGATTAGAGCAACGCGTGTCTGAGTTAGAGAAATGGGCTGGATGTACTGTAGTCTCATCATGTTAACTTTAGACAAAAATGGCTGCTTACTGTGCAGGGTGGGCAGCGCTGCTGTCTATTCACTGTTCTCCTGAAGGAGCAACTGCCCAGGAATCATTTCCCAACCTCCAACTCTGTGTCCAAGCATTTCGATACCTTGTCCACAGAATAAATGGGACATTGAGGAAAAAAAGAATAATGAAAATAACTTGTGAAGAAATTTCTGACTGATCATCCCCAGAAACTGGAGCCTCAATAGTGAGGAACAACAGTTTTGGCTCTAGAATCTCCAGTTGTTTCTGGGAACTAATGACAGAGATTATGAGAGAGAAAGGTGTGGTTGAATAGGAAGTAAGCGCATATATGTAGTGTGGTGTCTTACTCAGAGCCAACCTCTTGTTTTTTTCTAATGGTCATCCAAAGGTAGAAAAACAACAGAGTCATCTATTCCAGCTTTAGTGTTTGGAGAAGCCGCAGAATTAGAGCACAGGTATTTCCAAAAGAGGCCTATGGACCAGCCCAGACAATTCTGTGAGCCTCTTGTTTATGGAGTTTCTCAGCAGACTAGACACAAGGTTGGTCTCTCAAGTCATTAGGTTGGTGCCTAAGTAGCACTGTATAATGCTGAAGGAAGGAAGCTTCTGTTGAGATAATATTCTTTCCAATCTATTTTTGTAAGACATGAGTAAACACATGTTTTTCTTTCCCACATCCTCACCAAAGTAGCTTTGTACACCATAAACTTGGTGTGCTAAGATGATGATTCAATGACCATATTTATTTCCTTCCTTTTGCTAACAACGTGATTAATCATCTAAGTGTAGATTTTTAAGGACAGTTAAAATAGCATTTTTTTTCTAAAACCCCAAGCTTTCAAAATGCATGAAATTACTTGATTAAGCTACTTACATCTTTATTTTCTTTCCTCTTTTTATGCAAAGACCAAAACACCCTACCCCAGAGATTTTTTTTTTAATTTTTTTTCAGTGCTCCAAGAGAAGATGGACACTCTAGAAACTACTTCAGCTTTGCTAGGACAGTGAAAGGCATACAGAGGGGGAAAAAGGATAATAAATAAAAGGATAATAAATAAAAGCCAAACTGACTGATGTTAAATATTAAAGTCAGTTTTTAATTACTAGTTCAATCTGCCACAGACATTTTAGACAACCTCTCCAATTACTTTTTCATCCTGTTATCAGTCCTTATTGCTTACCAAAGACCGGTAAGTAATTGGAGGGACTATGTCCTGCTGCTATATATGGACCTCTGGTGGACTTGTGGTAAGAAAAAATGTGCTTCAATACCAAAGTCGCACAGTTTGAATCCCCCAGATGCTCCATCGGAGAAGGATGGGCAATCTACTCTGTTTCAATTTGCAGCCTCTAGGTGCCTGCTGGAGGGTCAGGTATGGGTTAGTTCTGACTCAATTGCAAATAACAACAGCAGTGTCTTGACATAGATAGAATTTCCTCTTTTCTTTCCTTGTATTTTCTGAGATGATAATAAACCTTTGATTTGAAGATGGGTCAAAGTAATAAACAAAACAAGCCCAAACCTGCTGCTGTAAGATTAGTTTTGACTCATAGTAACTCTGTAGGACAGAAAGAAGTGCCTCAAAGGGTTTCGAAGGCTGTAAAGTTTAATGCCATATATTTGGCTCAGGATAGTTCTGGGTTCAGAGCTATTGTGCATAGGGTCACTATGAGTACACACACATAACAACAACAACCATTGGGAATCAACAGCTGGTGAGGGTAAGCTGCTGATTTACTAACTAACAGCACAGTGCCAAATCCACTGCGCCATCAGGACTCTTTGAGAAGTGGCAATATTTTGCAATTTCTTGGTACAATGGATAACATTTTCTAACATTGTTTGGTCTTTAATAGTATTCTGTATTCTTCCTGGAACTCCACAAAAGAAAGATTAATAACTCAATTATAAAATGGGCAAAAGACAGAAAGAATTTTCAAAGAAGATATTCAAATGGCCAAAAGACACATGAAGAAATGCTCCAAATCACTAGCAATAAGAAAGATGAAAATCAAAACAATCTCACTCCAGTAGCATGGCAAAGTTTAACAGGACAGTAAATAATACATGTTGGAGAGCATGTGATGAGATAGGAACTCTTATACATTGTTGGTGGGATTGTAAAATGGTACTACCATTCTGGAAGGCAGTTTGGTGTGTCCTCAAAAAGCTGAACATAGAAATTCCATATGATCCAGCTATTTCATTGCTTGAAATATACCCCAAGAAAATGAGAACAGAGGCACAAACACAGACTTGAACACCAGTGTTCATAGCAGTATTATTCTCCATCACAAGAACATGGAAATAACCCCTATGTCCAACCACAAATGAATAGATTGAGAAGTTGTGGTGCATTCACACAATAGAATACTATGTAGCACGAAGGAGCAATGATTTTGTAAGTTACTACCTAACTTGGGAAGGACTGGAGAGCATTATGCTGAGTGAACTAACTCAGTATCACAAGGACAAATATTGTATAAAATCATTATTGTAGAAGGAGGATGAAGATCCAAGGTAGGGGGAGGATGGAAGCCTTTGAGTGAAGATGGATGGGGTGGGGTGGGATGTTAATCATAGGGTTGCACAATTCTATGGGGGGGTGAAGGAAATGGGAAGGATCTTTTGTGAAAAACAATGTATTCAAACTTTGTAAACAAGTATGAAATTAAAAAAAACCTAGGTGAAACAAACAAAAAAAAAGAGTATTCCCTATTTCTAGAATCAAGTACTGAATGTTTAAATATCTCTGGTTTTATGTATGTCTCATTGCTATTGAGTCATTTGCAACTCATAGAACTCATTGGTTTTCAGAGGCTGTAAATTTGGGAAAGCAGACTGCCCATCTTTCTCTCGTGGAGCTACCAGTAGATTTGAACTGCATGAGACAGTTGGCGTCTTTGTAAGCACTGTAACAGACTACAAACTACAGCGCCAGAACTCTCTTATGTATGAAGGTAAGGTGCCAAGTTGATTGCTATGGCTTAATCTGCACAGAACTTTGAACCAGTCCATTCCATGTTGAACTTCTGCTATGAATTTTCTTTCCCACCACAGATAGGCTGAATCAGAATCCACATTTTGGCAGGATGCCCAGGTGATTCTGATATTATTAAAATATAGATTCAATTTCAGTCTATCTGGAGTAGAAATACAAATTCTCAGCAAGGATTCTAGCCAGAATGGATCCCTTGAAAGCCCTGTCTATTGATCTGTTCTATCAGATACTTGTTATGAATTCTTTCTTTTTATAATAGAAAATTTTTCATTTTCAGATTTTCTCTAGTTTAGACCTTAGCTCTTCCACTACATAACCCTGGCTTTATCACCCTTAGCAAATTGAAGCCTGAGAGTGAAAAAAAAAAAAAGACTGAAATACTGTGGCCAAATTGTCTGCTTTTATTGCTGACAATTATTTCTGGTTATTCTCGGCCCTTTAATGAACTTTTACTGTATCAATGTAACTGGCATTCCAACACTGAATTGAAATCAACTTCAGTACTTCCAGTTCATGGGTGGCAATGCTCACGTGATAAATAATTCTTTTCTAGGTTGTGCCATGGAACGAATATGGTTTCTGCTGCTTCTAACAATTAGAGTGCTTCCTGCATCTGCACAGTTCAATAGCTATAACTGTGATGCCAACCTCCACAGTAGGTTTCCTGGTAAGTCTTGACCTGATATTTTCTGTAATTACAATGGAAAAAGTTCAATTACATTTGAATAATAAATCATTTAAATATGTAAAGAAAATAGAGGGCTCTCCTAATATGAAGTAGATATTAATAATTGACAAATGACAAAGGAGGATGGTTTATATGGAGTGTCAATTTACATCCACATTAACATGCAAAGTGCTCTTCATAGCTGTATTACAATGGTCACTCAGATTGGAAATCATTGGCTACTGGGTGGTGAAACGGGTAAAATTCACTTTCATTAAAAAATTTGTCTAATTGATATCCTTTAAGAAATAAGCTAACTTGGGGCTTTTAAAATTTCTTTTTATGCTCACTAACCTATTTAAGAATATTTCTTAAGAAAATAATTTATAATGGTACACAATACTCACCGCTGATATTTACAGACTGGTTTCACAATGAATTACACAGAAGTTTATTGCCACCAATATCATATGACAGATCTTGCTCATATTAATGGTTATATCACATAGGTTCCTAAAGTCTGCATTCAGTGAGAAGGAGTTCAACATTTCACTCATGTATTCACTCTTTAGTGGTTTAGCAGTAAGGTATTGCACTGTCAACACAAAGGTAAGTGATTCAATTCTGCCAGCTGCCCCATGGAAAAAAGATGAGCCATCTCATCCTACACAATCTATTGCCCCTGAAAACTCATGGGAGAGTCAGCTGTAGGTCAGTTCCAACTCTATGGTAGGTGTGTACCATACAACAACAACATCATTTTAATACCTATAGGCCTGGCGGCATAGTATGTAATGTACCATGTTTTTAATGGAATGATTGGCAGTTCCAATCCACCAGCCATTCTGTGAGAGAAAAACAGGTAATCTCTTCATATATCAATTCTCAGTCTCCAAAACCTTATGGAAGTTGCTATGAGTGAGGCCCAACTCTAAGGTAATGAGACTCTTTTTCCGGGGGGGAAAGGGGTCCTAATAATAGAACCATAGTTCACCAGTTATTAATATATTTTAGCCAAGCTGGAACTGCTTTTCCAAGTCTGAGATGCAAACTCAAAGGCCTTCCACCAGATTTTATGTCTCCACAACTGCCATGTCATCTAAGCTTGGAGCATGATAGGCAATGCCACAAGTGCACAAAAGAGGTTAGGCTCCTAACCTTACCAAGTTAGAGAAGTAATCTGCCTTGTTCCAGAATAAATAGAATATGTCAGAAGGTCATGAATATCTAGAAAGGTCTCCTACAGCAAGGTTGTAAATAGTTT